CTTTCATTATGGGTTGCTTTAGTACCAAAGACTTCTGTCCGTCCTTCTACACCAACGCCTCAGTCCTTTCCAGACTGACAGAAGTGTCAGTGACTTTGAGTCTCATCTGTTCTTTAAATCAGGGCGTGATGTCACAGGCTGGGTGTCTGACCCGGCGCTCTGAGTTCATTTTGTATTTGTCTCATTTTAGATTTGTGATTAGTTTGTGTCATTCCTATTTAGCTTTAGTTAAGAAAAGGCAGTTATTATTTATTGTTTCCTTGGTTTCTATGTTTGAGTTCTTGTATCGTTCATCACGTGTTAGGTCTGTTAAGCTTGTGTTGTCATGTCTAGTTTCAGTGTTTCCTGTTTTATTTTGAAGGAGTCGTGTGTTCTTTGTTCATTGTATTTAGTTTCACTTCCCCTGTCCTGTCATTAGGTTCATGTCAGTCAGCTGTTCCTCCATGTGTTCCCACTTCCCCTAATCACCTCCTGTGTATTTAAGTCCTGTGTTTTCAGTGTGTCATTGTCAGATCGTCTGCTTTGTTTGCAAGCCAAGAAGTTGTGTCAAGTTTCCTCATGTCAAGTCCATGGTCCTATTGTAGGTTTTTAGTTAATTTAGCTCACCCAGTTTAGTTTATTGTTAGCTTTGCCTTTTGTTTACAGTTATTTTGCCTGCCTCAATAAACGGCTCGTTTTCTGTTATTCAAGTCATGTTTCACATTTTGTTTTCGTCTGCATTTGGGTCCACCCTTCACTCTACACACAGTCAGCCCTGCTGCTGTTTGTGACACGTGATTTGTTCTCTTTGGAGATTTTTTGGTCTTCACCTTAGCAGACAGGCTGTATTTAAGTAATTTCTTGATTCAACAGGTCTGTCACATATAGCAAGATAACATTCACAGTGACTTTAATGGCTAATTTTAGAATCTCCAATTAACCTAATCCCATGCATGTCTTGACTGCATGGGATTAGTTCTTTTCAGAGAACTTGAAAAGAACCCAAGCAGACACAAGGATAACATGCAAGCTCCACAATGCATCGCCTCAGGCTGGATTTGAACCCAGTGTCGCTATGATTCATATATTGTATTATTGCATGTGTTTATATCTTTTCACATTTCACTTCTAAATATGTTTGTATGTAGTGGATGTTTCCAGAAGTTTATTCATTTTATCTAATAAAATTTTAATTTATAACTGGCCCTAATATTCCCAAAACCATCATTAGGAATGGTATTGGAAGAGTGGCTGTGAAGAAGTCATTCTTATGAAGCAGAAACAGTGAAAAAGGACTGAGATATACCAAAATACGCAAGATCTAAACTTAGAATCAGTAGTACCAGGCCTTATGGAGTGATACATCCAAATTAGATATTTGATCTCCAAATTGCCAGTATATACAAAAGACATATTGGACAGTAGAGATGTAAAACAATGCGTTTGTGTAACCAACTGCCTCTGAGAAGGTTTGGAGTTTCATATCAGGCAGTGATATTGTGGATTTTGTCAGAACTGATGGAATCATTAATACTGTTGAAGAACAAAGGTGGTGTTTGTGCGTGTGTGTGTGTGTGTGTGTGTGTGTGTGTGTGTGTGTGTCTGTGCATGACTCAAGACTTATGCACAGTACTGCACATCTCTGTAAAAGTCTATCCTGTCTTTTTTTCCCCAGCTTAGTCAGAGTTGATTTCCCAGGGTTTTTTTACAAAGCCACTACAGGGCGTACATGTTGTGTGTGTGTGTGTGTGTGTGTGTGTGTGTGTGTGTGTGTGTGTGTGGTGTGTGTGTGTGTGTGTGTGTGTGTGTGTGTGTGTGTGTGTGTGGTGTGTGTGTGTGTGTGTGAGGCCTGAATGGGCTGTGGTGAGACTGACTGGCTGAATGCTGCTGCAGTGGGAGGCAGTAACCTGATAGGAGAGTGAATCAGTGTATTTCTCAGCAGAGGCAGAACATTAGTCCAGCTGTTCCTGTCTAACACCGTCTTCTCCGATAGCCTACTTCCCACTGTGTTTGTGAATTTCTGTATCTGTGTTAAAGCTGCACAAAACTGGTGGAAATAATGCTGTCAGTATCTTATATTGACAGCAATACAAGATATAATTCAACATAAGTCATGCATGGTTCATATACACTACATCTGTAAATCATTTCTGACCTGTTTTTATTGTATAATGCAACTTGTTTTACATTGAATACCAGCTTATTCTTTAGAATATTAGTTCCTAATGAACCAAACATGGACAAAAATGTAGACTAGAGATGAAACAAATTCACGTGGCAATAGAAACCAAGTGATTTTATTCAGACAGCAGAAACTGTGAAGACTAACACAGACAGAGTTGTTAAATCATCGTTTAACAGAGTTATGGTTTATAATATTTTTAGCCACTCATTGCTGGTGCTGGATCTCTGGAAAAAGAAAGCTCAGTTTAATTTCAGTCATGTAAACCAGGAGGCCCTAAACTCGCATCCCCATCTTCAGAAACTGGAAAAACGTTATGTCCCACAGCTTCTAGCGTCTGTTAACAACAAAAAAATAACTTCAACACTGAGTTTTATTTAAATAAAGATGCAAATGATTAGCACAATACATTTGTAAGCTTTAGTTCATTTTCTCTTAAAAAAGCTAAAAGTTCTTCATCTGGTTTTCCAAGAACCAGATTTAGAAACATCGTGTCACAGAATCCATGTATCCTGGGTTGGGCTGTGGAAAGGATTTTTTCTAAGACCATATTACTGAAACGAGCTGATTCAAAATTCTGTTGCACTGGACTCTATACTGTGGAGACTGCAAATTAACATACACAGTTGCATACACAATATGTTCTGTTAGACAGTGACAGTTGTGTTTTATTTCTGTGTGCGTGTGTGTGTCTCCCAACTGCATCTGTCTCTTTAATTTAATATTGATCTGGCTACTGGAGGCTGAATGCTGCAGTGTGCTGAGACATGCTGAGTCATAGAAATAGAAAGCCACAAATCACTGAGTGCACACATTTCATGCCCCACCAAAGAAAGAGATCAGTGAATAATTGATAAGTAATTGCACACAGGCAATAAGAACAATAATGACCCAGAACAAAAAGGATACAGAATTTGCTTTATTGTAGTGAATGTATCTGGTTGATCTTATCAGAGCCTGGAATTACTGAGATACTGAGGCCATTAGTCCAAGTTGTTTTTTCTCGAAGCAGGGCCCTACCCAGCCAAACATAATCTCCCTCTAAAAACCTTCGATTATAATTATTATTATTTTCTTCTATGCATTTATTGTTTTTACTCCAAACAGAATCTACAGTCACACACATTATTCTTCAATGGTGCAATTCCAGATGTAAGTTGGAGCTAACTGTTAAATTAATAATGTTAAACCTGCTCTTCTTTCCCAGTGTGATTCATTTTAAGATTATTTAACAACAAGTAAAAAACTATAATTAAACAATAAGTAAAAGCAAAACCAATAAAATGATCCTAGGTGAGATCTGATCTTTGGCCTCCAAGTCAATAGTCAAGCGTGAAGGTTTTTCCAGCACGTCTACTCTGATCAAACATCAGCTAATGCAGGATTCAACCTTGTCAATTTGATTTCACAGAATTGAAGCCATAAATTTACTGATAAAAGTTCATGGTACAAGGCAGGGCCGAACTGGGTACATCTCCATGTTGGTAACTTCCTGCAAATACACCAGAAAACAACAGCTCAGCTATGAGAAGCTAACTGCTCATTTGTTTGTATCCTGCCATACTTTCTCTGATGTAGCTCTGCCATTGCGCAAACAGAGAAGGCCTTTGTGTGTCAGATTACAACACATACAATGCATGAGAATAACCTATATTGTATGATTTAAGCACAGCAGAGTCTGCTTGTACTCTTGTCCATCCAGGCCCAGGGTGAATGAAAACAAAATTTGATTTAAATAATAAGTGATATAAAAACTACTCGACTGTCATAAAGGCAGCACATCTGTAAAACATTTTGTGAAGAACTGAGGCCATCCCTGTGTCTGCGCCACAGTCACATTGGCCCCTTGACATCCAGATTATCTATTAATAAGCATGTGTGCTCTCATTTGCTTTTACTCATTTAAAGCACCCAGTACAGTTCTAGATTCAACATTTTGTGGTTTCACCACACCTTTTACACCCATTATTGTGAGAATCAACAAGAGGAAAGAGCTTCATAAGATGAACACCAGAAACTTGGCGTAAAGTGCATGTTGCTTGTTGTAAAGGTATAAGAGGCTGGCTCTTTGTCCTGAATCAGTACTCTACATCATTGTTTTATTAATAATGTGCTAAAAATGTAAAGGGACTGCAGGTTTCCCATTTCAGTTGTCATTATGTTGATAATCCTATATACTTATTGTTCTAATTGTTCCTAAATGTAACGATTATTTTCTTTACTTGCTGTTACTTCACACATTAATGCTTTCTTTATAATAGCAGTACGGGTTTACAGCACGAAATCCACTCATAAACCAGTAGAAAAGGGAAAGAAAATGGTAAATGAGATTGCAGAATCCAGCTGGATCTGTCTACACCCAGGCCTCAGACAGGCATAACTGAAAATCACTGCCCAGCCCTCGAGTAAAAAGCAAGGCGTCTGAAAGCCATGGTTAGCTCTACTGCGACAGCTTCCGCTATATTTCTGATAAAATGGTCAGCCACGTGGACTGTTGCTGCTACTAGCAGCCCACTCGGATGACTGTTTTATATCCTAATGAATCGAAATGCTCTAATTTACTCAATGAGATGAAACCTCTAGCTGTCTGCACTAGGAGCTAACACTAGCATGTCAAAAAATAATCCCTTTACAGTGTCGCATTTTCTTTCTACCATCACGAGGAAGTAGGTCAACGTCTACAGATTAGACATTAGTCATAGGTTTGAGATGAAAATGATAGGCAGACCGGTTAGACCAATCAGAGATTAGCACATGAACCTTTGATTGGTTTACATTTGTGTCTATAAAGGAAGTGTTCGCTTATAAGCCAATAGGCACTTGAGTTGACGCCTTGAGGGCGTTTCCTGGACGTATAAAGTAAAGCGTTGAGGCATTCGGTACGCACTTCAAGTGAACCAAAGTCTGTCGTTGTAAGTCGTACGCTAACTCCAGTAAATATGAGGGAAATTGTCCATCTTCAGGCCGGCCAGTGTGGAAACCAGATTGGTGCCAAGGTTAGTGAAAATATGTGTCATTTCAGGACGTTATTAAGTTGCATTATTTACGATCAACGTGTTCTTTGCACCAGAAGCCTGTGCATTGTGCTCGTTACGTCCCAGAAGCCACACCCTGGGAATATCAACGTGTCCTACTTAAATGTTGGCTAAGAAATTAGTAAACTATAGACATAACTATATTTTGAGAACTTTGTAGGACCGTAATATATCGACGTCTAATTAAATAAAATGGAAAAATAAATGTAATGTTGAACAGTTTAAAGATTTCCCTGCAGCCCTTTGTTTTTGTTATTTAGATCAAAGAAAATTACTGATAAACTGAATGGGAACTCTAATTAACGTTTTTACGTCGAATTGACGGAAACTGAACTTGGCCATTGTTCCTCTTGGTGTATGCTGCACTGCGGAAAAAAGGGAAGTAAAGCTAAGGATTGTCGACAGAATACGCAAAGCCTTAAGTAAAACAGCCCTATAGACTAAAAGCTTGCTGGGTTTGTGGGGTAAACTATAATTTTAACGATTTTTGTCACATAAGTCGGATTATTTTTATTTATTTTATTTAATTGTAGTTACCGGCTTCGTGCGGCCTACTTCGTGCTTTTGCTGCAGCCCGGCTTTTTGCCTGTAGTGGGCGGTTAGTGACGTAGCAAGGAATGTTCGAATTCATAACCATAGCAGCCAATGGCGTATGAGACCGCGCGCGCCTATGGCAGAACGGCGGGGACTTGTCGACCATTTTAAACTGAACGTCAAGAATCAGGCGCGTGGCTTCATCCATGTTTATGATTTGTAAATGTAACCCTAAATCACATTACTGCAACATCAAAACTACAGAATGTTAAATATAGTGTAGTGTGCCTCTTAAAAGAACAATAGACCAGGATGAGATTGCTCTATTTAGTCACTTTTTTTATTGCTCCCTCATTTTTGCCTTTTATTTGTATTTATTTTAGTTTTGGGAGGTGATCAGTGATGAGCATGGCATTGACCCAACTGGCACTTACCATGGTGACAGTGACCTGCAGCTGGACAGGATCAATGTCTACTACAATGAAGCCTCAGGTAAGTACATCATCCATACAACTGGGCCTAGGGCTGTATGTGGGTTTAATGATATTTAACTGGACTTTTTTCTTTTATTTATTTATTTTTTAATAATTAGGTGGCAAATATGTGCCCCGTGCTGTCCTTGTGGATCTGGAGCCAGGCACCATGGACTCTGTGAGGTCTGGTCCTTTTGGCCAAGTCTTTAGACCAGACAACTTTGTTTTTGGTAAGTTGCATTATATTATGTCAAAATTTCTAAATTATGTTGCACTATGGTTACTAAGTTCAGTCTGGATTTGTTTATGCAGGCCAGAGCGGTGCTGGTAACAACTGGGCCAAGGGTCACTACACAGAAGGTGCAGAGCTGGTGGACTCTGTCCTGGATGTAGTGAGGAAGGAGGCAGAGAGCTGCGACTGCCTGCAGGGCTTTCAGCTCACACATTCCCTGGGTGGTGGTACGGGATCTGGTATGGGCACACTGCTCATCAGCAAGATCCGTGAAGAGTATCCTGACCGCATTATGAACACCTTCAGCGTGGTGCCTTCCCCAAAAGTATCAGACACAGTTGTTGAGCCCTACAATGCCACATTATCAGTTCATCAGCTTGTAGAAAACACAGATGAGACCTACTGCATCGACAACGAGGCCCTCTATGACATCTGCTTCCGCACCCTTAAACTCACAACCCCTTCGTATGGTGACCTCAACCATTTGGTCTCTGCAACTATGAGTGGTGTCACCACGTGCCTCAGGTTCCCTGGACAGCTCAATGCTGACCTTCGCAAGCTGGCTGTAAACATGGTGCCATTCCCTCGTCTGCACTTCTTCATGCCAGGCTTTGCTCCTCTCACAAGCAGGGGTAGCCAGCAGTACAGATCACTCACTGTACCAGAGCTCACCCAGCAGATGTTCGATGCCAAGAACATGATGGCTGCCTGTGACCCACGTCATGGTCGTTATCTGACGGTGGCTGCCATCTTCCGTGGGCGCATGTCCATGAAGGAGGTCGACGAGCAGATGCTGAACGTGCAGAACAAGAACAGCAGCTACTTCGTCGAATGGATCCCCAACAACGTCAAGACTGCAGTCTGCGACATTCCTCCCAGAGGTCTCAAGATGGCGGCCACCTTCATTGGTAATAGCACGGCAATCCAAGAGCTGTTCAAGCGCATCTCCGAGCAGTTCACTGCCATGTTCAGGCGTAAAGCTTTCCTTCACTGGTACACTGGTGAGGGTATGGATGAGATGGAGTTCACTGAGGCAGAAAGCAACATGAACGACCTGGTGTCAGAGTACCAGCAGTACCAGGATGCTACTGCCGAGGAGGAGGGAGAGTTTGAGGAGGAAGGTGAAGAGGACCTGGCTTAAGTTTACTGTTGCACAGCTGTTAAGTCTGTTTCCCAGTTGTCTGTGCAGTTCTCCTGTCTTGTTGTGTCTTGTCATTGTTCTGAATAAAACTTAAAAGACATATTTCACGTTTCTTTCTTTTCCTAACTGTAACTTAATATTTGCAGATGCTCTACACTGTATATAAAGTGTAGTTTCTTGACAATACTGTAGTCAGTGCAACAGTACACAAATTATGCTTAGTATACAGTATTTTTGATGAAAGCTGGCTCTTAAACTGAATAGTCTTCAAATGGGCTTAAAATACAACTAGCAGATCATGATGAGCAGTTTCACTATTAATTTGCATTTTCCAAGTTTCACCAGTTTCAGAAAGTGCTATCTCACTACCGAAATAGCTGTGCTGTCTACATTAATGTGAAAAATATCACTTGTGAGAAATTCACAAGAAGCACTAAATACTTTATTGATGTACTTGTGTAGGTTTTTTAAGTCAGTAGGGGGCAGTGTTGGCTAAGACATTCTCTTCCACAAAATGTAGGTGGAACCTTGTCCAGCTGGCAAACCAGGTCCTGCTTTTCCAAAAAGTGATACACAAACCCACACTATCAGGGAGGAAAAGGAAGTGTTTAAGTTAAATACTGTAATGTAATATGGGCTGCCAATATAAACTATTTTTAAATGCACAGCCTTCATCTGTGCACAAACCCCCAGCCTCAGAGGCAAATGAATCTGTTTCTGGCAACTTCACATGGAAATCAACCAAATGTAAGGCAATCTCAACAGAATCCAAAAACGACGAAGGCAGTTAAGAATACAAGTCACCTGAAAACCTGAAATTAGCTTCATCTGAATCAGGCCTGAAAAACTTTATTTTACTTTACTTTGAAGTGTTTGTTTTTTTTGATAAACTATGTTTGTAACCTCTTTCTTTTCATTTTTAGTGGGTGGATCTCCATGTTCACATAGAGTCTAACGATTAGCCTTTACACAGAAGATAGCGTTAAACAGCTGTCCCAAGGACATAACATAGACTGAGTCCTCTAAATGTTTTACTGCTGTTTTGACTTTGCTTTCACCAAGGCTGTAGCAGAAGCAACCTGAATTCACTGGGACAATCTCTACAGTGGACATAAGCACATGTGTGGTATGTGGGAACATGAGATAAGACTCTTCTAATGGGTTGTTCCCCATGGCCTCAAGATTATTCATCACAGAGCAGAATAAAACCCAAATTCTAATAAAAAAGGAAAAACTCCCTTTGAACAGGAAGAAACCTCCAGCAGAGCGACAGTGAGGGAAGTGAGACACGACCAAAGCACACTGTATAAGAGAGCCAGAGATCAATAACAAGTAATGATTAAATGCAAATTGGTGCATACATCTTTAAATCTTTGATTAAAGGGCCAAACATATGTTTTAGGCATCATTTTACACAACATTTTGGGTGCAGCTGGTCGCTGTATCCAGTTACTGCCATATCTAGAGTGACTATAAAGAATGTGAAATCACAGTCAGAGATGGATAAAGATGTAAGAAAGAGAAAATAGGAGAGGAAGAAGAGATGTTATCATTTAAAGGTAAGGACAGCTCAGGAACATTTTACAAACTAGAAATTTAAAAACTTACATAAATTGTCTAATTTTTTAAATGAGATGCTAGATCTGTAGAAGATGGAAATTTGTGATTTTTTCATGTTGTGAAAACATACTGAGGTATAATAACAAATGTTCAATGAAATAACAGGAAGCTTATTCATAGGATAAACAGGTTAGCTTTCAGTACTGTTTTGCATTTACAGTAATGCACCATTGGAGCGGTGCACAGTGGCTGCAGTGTTAGGTTACATAAAGGGCAGTTTAAGTCATAAGGCACTTTATATTATAACCCAATAGTCAGACAACCCCTATGACGAAGCACTTGTTCACAGTAGGAAGGAAAAACTCCCTTTGAACAGAAAGAAAGCTAACTATCTGCCACGACCAATTAGGGGTGAGGGGGAAGGAGCCAGAACAAATGACACACTGTGGAAGAGAGCCAGAGATTATTACAAAGTAATGAATAAATGCAAAGTGGTGTATAAACACAGAGATTCTGTAAACAGGCAAGTGAAGGAGAAATGCTCTTGACATGAGGCTCAAGTTTTGCACTATTGTACGACAGCTAAACTACAGTGGATGCAAAAGTATTCGGCCCCCTTGAACTTTCCCACATTTTGTCACATTACAGCCACAAACATGAATCAATTTTATTGTAATTCCAGGTGAAAGACCAACACAAAGTGGTGCACACGTGAGAAATGGAACAAAATCATACATGATTCCAAACATTTGTTACAAATAAACAACTGCAAAGTGGGGTGTGCGTAATTATTCAGCCCCCTTTGGTCTGAGTGCAGTCAGTTGCACATAGACGTTGCCTGATGAGTGCTAATGACTAAACAGAGTGCACCTGTGTGTAATCTAATGTCAGTACAGATACAGCTGCTCTGTGACGGCCTCAGAGGTTGTCTAACAGAATATTGGGAGCAACACATCAGAGCTGCTTTTCCACCATCCCTGGACTCGCACCAGTTTGCATACAGGGAGAACCGGTCAACCGAGGATGCGATCGCCACAGTGCTGCACACATTACTGAAGCACTTGGAACACAGGAACACCTATGCACGGCTCCTCTTTGTAGACTACAGCTCGGCTTTTAATACCATCCGGCCATACAAACTCCGTCCCAAACTCCACCAACTGGGACTTAACTCCTCTCTGTGCAACTGGATTGTGGACTTCCTCACTAACCGTAGACAGTATGTCAGATGGGTTTTAAAACACCTCCTCCACCCTTTGTCAACACCGGTTTCCCCTCAGGGTGTTTTGTTGCTGTAGTCCCTCTTCTATACACTCTCTTCACCCATGACTGTATTTCCTCCTGCGCTTCCAATCTCATTTTTAATTTGTCAGTAATGTAACTACAGTGCTTCGATTAACTTATAGTCTCAACCCAAATTATTAACAAACTATAGTACATATTTCAACAACTAGAGATTCATGGTGCGCACTACAATAACTTGTTCTTAAAACACCAAAAAACCAAGAGAATCATTTAGAGTTTCCGTGAAGTAGATTTCATAACAACCATCTGCCTCTCTCTCATTGGCAGTGTTTTTAGTCGTGTAAGGGTGTAGCAGTTTTTAAATTCTTTTTTTTAACGTGTACCGCTAGTACCTTCCTGGCAACCATGCATCACCTCAGTTGTCACGGAAGCCCAACAGTCGTCCTCTACTACCTGTAGTAGTACTGCGTAGCGCACACATTCGCCAATCTTGATTTGTAACTTCTACAACTTGCATCAGAGCGTTCTTACGCTTTATTCCGATTTTAGTTGTTCCCGGCACTTCAGGCCACCAAGGTCCTATCATCAAGCACTCGCGTGTTAATAATCTGTCAAATTATTGTAACAAGTCTCTCAAGATCATAATATCTTCCCCACTCGCTGTCTGAGGAGGGTGCACAGTATCCTGCGGGACCAACATCACCCTGCGCGCCACCTTTTCCATCTGCTGCCCTCAGGGAGAAGGTACAGGTCTATACAGGCCAGAACATCCAGACTGGCCAACAGCCTGTATCCACAGGCTGTGAGGCTCCTGAACTCTCTGCCCCCCTCTCACGGACAATAACCATATCCAACTTCTTAATAGCAATGAACTGGTCTGCATTGGTGCATCATATCTTTATTCTCTTCCCCTCCTCCCCCCCCCTCTTTCTTAAATAGATAACTATCATATCTGATATCATATCTCACAGTACAATAATATTGAATGGGTTGCATTGTTGTATTTTGTCATGTTTCTCAGGTCTTTGTCTGAATTTCTACGAACATTATTGCTAAGGATTGTCTTATTGCATTGGAGTCACACTGGGTTAAATATGTACACTTGGGTTTTAAGGGGTATTTATTATTTTCTTCTTTTTTTCTTTTTTTTTTGGGTTGTATGGAAGCCCCAAACGCAATTTCATTGTTCTTGACAATGACAATAAATAAATACTACTACTACTACTAACAACACCATGAAGTCCAAAGAACACAGCAGACAGGTCAGGGATAAAGTTACTGAGAAATTTACAGCAGGCTTAGGCTACACAAAGATTTCCCAAGCCTCGAACATCCCACGGGCTGCACCATCACCATCGCCACTGTCATGACAGTGTATAGCCCTCTGGCCAGCTAGCACATGTACAGACAGTACAGTGCTCAGTACGGTGCTCCAGGCCAGGTCCCGGCGCTTTGTTCCAGGTGTAGGGGGAAGGAAGTGCTCGTCCAGGATACATATGAGGATCAGGCAGGCTGTGTTCTCTGTCACATCCTGGAAGATGGGGAAGGGAGTAAGGAGCTCGTTGCCAGCATGGTGCATGGCTGCAGTGCAGGCTGTGGGGACTGGACCCATGGTTCCATCTGCACTGCCACTGGTTTGTCTATGTAATCATAAGTCATTAGAAAAGCTTCTCTAACCAGACGGTCAGGACTGTTGACGCTCAGTCTGACCTCTGGCACCTCTGACTGACACATAGCTTCAATATACAACAAGCAGTACTACATTCCTCAATCCCATCAGTCCGGCTTGGGAGAGCAGGGATGCTGTCAATGTCAAACGAGCACAGAAAAGAAAGGGGGGGGGAAAGAACATTCTTATTAATTAAGTAATTTTTTTTTAGTATCTATAACTTACCTTCTACTCAAAAAA